GAAGGAATGTGAAGGTCAAAAAATAGGGGGGTCAATATGCATGCAGTTTGTGGAGATGGAGCAGGAACTACTCATATTGAGATTGGAAGAATCACTGAAGGATTTGTTCCATCTGACAATGTGGGAATTCATATTTTCATTAGGTAGTTTGATATTGCTTCAGTCAAGATTAGTCTGTTTTGTTTTTCCATCATTTACTTTTCATTATTTTGGAGGAGAAAAAGATTCTTAGATAGAAGCTTAAGATTCTGGATTTCGATGAAATGTATGAATTGTTAAAACTTTCGAGTAGGTGTAGGAAGTTTACCATGAATGTGGTCATTGAAGCTGCAAGTCTGTCATTTGAAAAACATCGATGGCGGCAAATATTACTAGCATTATTACTAGGCCGTAGAAGGGATTGGCTTATTTGTTGTGTTGCAGAAGCGCAATAAGCCGCATCAGTAATGCGATGTGCAAAACAAAAAACAACAACACATCACAACCGATGCAGCGATTGTCGCCAATGCCATTTTCAGGGGACGAGAATTTTACGAGAACAGGCAAGAGAGTGACTGTGTCATGACTTCGCATCTAAATGATTTCAGTTACAGCAAGAGCTTTCTTTTATACGGAATCTGACGGTGAATCCTATTGGTTCAAATCTATCATCGACTTTTACATCAGCAGGCAAAGATGAATAAGCAACGCCCTTTCTTTAATTACCATTCTCTGTTGAGGTATGAGTACCTGAAGTACCGCAGAGAGACAAGGACACTTGTATTCTAAAATTAACATATTTTGATTCCCTTTTATGTCTCTCACATACATTAATACAATCGTTGTTTGTGCTGCAAAATTTCTCCATCATAAACGGAAGAAAGTCAGAAACAGAAAAAGAAGTCAAACGGAAGGAAATCAGAAAATTGAAAACAATGGATTGAATTGTAAATTGTTTCGTGAAATGGGCAATAACTCGTAAAATAATGTGAACAAGTGGTTTATAAAAGATAAAACGAAAAGAACAAAACATTTCCGGTTTACGTCACATTCATCCAGTCGATCCCTTTTCTTTTTAGATTTCCATAATTAAACAAGTGATTTTCATGCGACAATTGATAATTTCAAAACGGTTTGCATTGCTACTGCGTGTGAACTACGCCATATATTTAAATTTCATTGAGAATTTTTCACTTCAAGTCGTTGAATAAACCAATTTAAGTTTTAATAATTGAAGGAATTCCTGAAGCCATTAAAAATTCGCTTACAAAATTTTTCTTACTGTATTGGCAATTCTTGTTCAACGTGCTTTTCTAATTTATTTAAAGTTTCTTTTTCTTAAATGTTTCTTATCCCAGTTAAAATGGCAATATCTTTATAGCCTTTCAAACTTTAATTGTAAAATTGTTACATAAAGTTTAACCTATCATCATAAACAAACTGTTTCTTTCATACAAATAATAAATTGTAAAGTTACGGTTTACGGTACTTCTCATATGGCAATATTTTTTCCCCAAAAAGCAATTCATCAAAGGATTCGTCGGTATTACCTTTTGAAAGTGACCAGATTATCTGCACTGGAAAATACTTCTTTGGAATGTCACTTTCGAATTTTGAATGATACATTTGGGTTAAATACTTTTACTGCCTAATAGAAAGGTTTATCAAATAGGCAGGGAGAGAGAGAGAGAAAGAAAGAGAGAGAGAGATGAATCAAATTCAGATTTGAGATGTTGTCGATATCGAGTTAAGGAAAATATAATTAATTGGGAATTGCATGACCTGAATCTGCTTGTCAGTTACTTTCCATTCCTCATTTAAAAATGTTTACACTTAAAGTAAAGGTCAAACACAAAGTTATCGATTTTTCGATAAAGGGACCGAATAATAGAAAGTTCACCAAATCGTAATCGTTTTTAAGTTCTTATATATATGTCTTCAAACATTTTCACTTTGATTTCTTTACTGTTTCCAAACTTATTTTGCATTTATTAATGAAACGCAATTAGATCAAAGCTCAGAAACCAGTTAATTTGAATGACAAACGATTACGCAAACATACTTCTTTAGGAGATGAAAATCGGGCTGTCTTTGGTGAGGAATTCATGGTTTCGTCTTGTTGCTAAATTAAGATATACTATTCTTCTTCCGGAAAAGATAGTTTCTTTCATTTTATCCAACTGAAGGATAAATTAGGCATTTCTATGACTGTAGG